CCTTAGCGTGGGTGACTGTCAGCATAAGGGTTGCCAGGGACATGGAGAGTGAGATGGACACTGTGACCAACCCAGAAGCAAAGGAACACAAAATTTTGGTGGCCTGGTACACTCTTTATCACATGGAAAAAATGGTAAAAGAAGAGTGTATATGTCAGCAAGTATTGCCTGTAGGCCCGATCCAGCCTGCTGCTTTTTTTCTGGACAGATTAAGCTGTGAATTGCTTTTACATTTATATTTATCTTTGCATGGAGACAGGGTCTCAAAGTATCCCAAGCTGGCCTTCAACTCATTATATCACCACCTGGAAATTTGGTTCCCCTGCCTCCACCTCCAGAGTACAATTACTGGAACTATAGGTAATGTAGCATCACATCAAGTTTATGGAGTGCTGGGGCATCGAACCCAGGGCTTTGTGCATGCTAGGTAAGTATGTACCAACTGAACTACATTCCCCAGCCCATGTTTTAAATGGCTGAAAACAAACAAACAAACAAACAAACAAACAAACAAACAAACGGGGCAGTGATCATTATGGCAGGTACAAATGTTAAGAAACATCAATTCCAGTGTTCATACATGGAGTATCAATGGAACACAGACGTGGCCACTGGTTACTCAGGCCCATGCTGCTTTCACGCTGTAGAGGCAACTTGAGGAGACATAGTGGAAGCAGTGTGGCCATAGCAGATGGTATCTGCCATCTGGTCCTGTCCAGGAACCATATGGTAACCCCTGGAGTCAAAGACTGTAAGGGAAGGCTCCCTCCAAGACCAATTACAGAATCTGGGACTATAACAAAGATAACACAAAAAGAGTTATTGGCCATGTCCTCTAGGTTGGTGACTACAATGGAAGTCTGATCACCCCCTGTTCATTGCAGTGCTGTTCCCAGCAGCCAACATATGGGATAAGCCAAGTGTCCACCAGTAACCATGGTCTGTGTATATGGAATGCTAGTCAGCCATAGCAGTTGTCACCTGTGACAGCATGGAAGGACCTGAAGGACATTAAGCCAAAGGAAAGAAGGTAGGCACAGAAAGACAGATAATGCCCATTCTTCCTTAGGTATGGAATCAAAAAGTTGACCTCACAGAGATAAGGGGAGAGTGGTAGTTCCAAGGGGCTGGAGAAGGGAGGGTAAGAGAGGTCACAGGGTGAGTACCACGTGGCTCAGAGAGCAGAATAAGCTCTGGCATGCTACTGCAGTTTGGCTACAGTTAACAGTGGGTTGTGTGTAAAAGTAACTAAAAGAAACTGCCCATAGTGCAGGCAGGGGCTAGAGGATTATCCATGGATTTGAGGCTAGCCTAGTCTGCATAGTGTCTGTCAGGCTAGCCAGGGCTCCATTGTCAGACTCCATCTCAAGCAAAACTAGCCAACAAAATGGCTGGAAGAGCAGAATTGCGCCATGACAGTGGTTCTCAACCTTCCTAACACTGTGACCCTTTAGGACAGTCCCTTATGTTGTGATAACCCCCAACCATACACTTGCTTTCATCGCTACTCCATAAATATAATTTTGCGAGTGTTATGAATTGCGATATCTGTAGTTTCTGATGGTCTTAGGTGACCCCTGTGAAAAGGGTCATTTGATTCCCCAAAGGAGTCAATTTTTTCACAAGTTGAAAAAATGCTGGTCTATGAAGTAGATATATCAGCCATTAGCCCCTGTGACCATGACACACTGCATAGTTACATAAATATGATACTGCCACCTGTATGTATACAATTAATTATGTGTCAACTGTTTTTTTAGAAGTGTAAAAGTGCAGTTGGGCATAGTGGCATGCCTTTAATCCCAGTGCTTTGAAGGCAGAAGCAGGTGGATCTCTGGGACTTCAAGGTGAACTTGGTCTACATAGTAAGATCCAGGACAGCAAGGGTCTCTACATAGCGAGACCCTGTCTCAAACAACCACAAACAAACCAAAAGGCAAAACTGCTTTGCTGAGGGATATATGAAGACAGGATTGAAACCCTAGCAGATGTCATGGCTGCTGCAGTGTGTAGTGTCATATTGCTGTCCACATGAAAGAATCCAACTACATCGAACCGCACAGTATGAAACAGTGTCTGGTGCTCTTGTCTAGACATTCTGATTGGCTCAGGAAGAAAGCCTCCCTGTCCAGAGCAGGTCTTCAGCATTGCTGTGCCACTCCGGCTTTCCCATTGAACACAGGGAGATGGCAGGCTGAGTGAGCAGTTTTGGTGCTGTTGACTTTTACACAGCTACCCTCTTAGGCTGTGTGAGCTCACCTGCCTCAGATCCATTCTTGCCTCTTTGTTCCTGAGGCAGAAACTTGGTTTTCACATCTAAGCAACAGTGCTCATTTCTCAGTCTCCCTCACAGTGAAGGGGGCCGCACTGCAAAGGCTAGCCAATGAGAAGCAAGCGGAAGATGCCGCATGTGACTTGCAGAAGAACTTCTTGACTATGAGAGACACAGCATGTTCATCTTTAATCCTTCCTGATGGGTGATTGCCTCAATGATGAGGTCTCAGTAAAGACAGCAAACCAGAGAAAGAGAAGGAGCTTGAGTTTCCAGTGACACCACTGAGCTAGGAGATTGGATTCTTCCCTCCTATTCTTTTGTTTTTTTTTTTTCAAAACAGGGTTTCTCTGTGTAACAGTACTAGCTGTCTTGGAACTCGATTTGTAGACCAGGCTGGCCTCGGAATCACAGAGATCCACCTGCCTCTGCCTCCTGATTGTAGGCATTAAAGGTGTGTGTCATCACCGACCAGTTTATTCCTATTCTTAAGTAGCAAAGGAACAACTCGACAATTTCCTCCTCTTCCTCCTTGCCTTATGCCAGGAATTGAACTTAGAACTTTATGTGTGCTTGGCAAACATTTTACATATTCCCAGACCAGAACTTTCTCATTTCTATTATTTCTTCTGTCTCTTCCTAGCCACCAGTTACAATTCTTACTGTATAATACCCAATTTATAGCAAATAATTCAAATTTAAAATCTATAGTAGGGTTAAAAATTTTTTTTTTTTTGTAACGTAGACTGCCCTCACAGCAATCATTCTACTTTAGCATCCCATGTCCTGGGATCACAGATGTGAGTCACCATGCCTGGTTTTAATTTTCTTTTAAAGCCCAAATAAATGTCAGCACACCAAAACCAAACAATAACATCAGGCAGGAACAATGCATGGGAGATTTATGAAATACAAACTGGGAAAGGGTATTAGGTAGCACTGTGCCACACTAGCCTTGTTGCCTGCAGTGATTATAAGCACAGGTCCTTGATGCTCCCAGGGGAACCTTCCCTTAGCTGCCCTGTGGTCAGGGATCTCCAAGTCCAGCCCCAGAGGGTATACTCACTTACCAGCTGCCCTCCAGTATCTGGGAGCTGCTTCTCCCCTCCTGCCTCTTCTCTAGCTCCACGGCTGTCTGTTCCAGCAAGGCAGATACAGCATCCTACAGAGACAGAGGCCACCAGGTCATTGGGGGCTCTGGGTACCACCTTATCTACCAGACATCCCAGACTTGTAACTCTCCTAGAGAGCACAGGGTAAAGCCCAAAGGCTGGAGCAGCCAAGCATCTGGCCCATGGTCACCTATACATGGGAACTATTGTTTTGGTTTCACTCGCCAAGTCTGCAGAACATCTCTCTATGTGTGTATCTACTTAGCAGAATTAGTTTAGCAGTGAAGGGCAAGCTTTATAGTTCTGATCGAGGAGATCAGAGAGCTGTCTGTCAGAGTCTTCATGTCACATGAACCATCAATGACAAAGCAATGTGATAAGGAGCAAGAGGGAGGTGAGCTCTGTGTGTCTGGGAACAGAGACACAGTAGCAAGTGGGGGATTGCATGTGGGGAGGGCTTCTAGGAGAAGGAACTGAGTGATGCCATCACTGAGGAAGAAGGTGTGGCCTGAGAGAATTATTGAATCTCTCTGGCCCTCACTTTCTCCCAACAAGCGCTAGGAAAGGTCATTATGAAGATTAATTGCGATGATCTGCACACAGAAGAGTAGCCTAGCAGACAGTATTCGGCAGACAGTGGCTGATATCTGAGCAAAGACAAGCTTCGGCTTTCTGATCACATTCTGATCAATTCACCACCAGCCTCAACTGGGGGTCGGGGTGGAGGTCACAAGGCTAGGAAACTCCTGACAAGTTCTTTGGGGAAGGAAAGAAATATCTAAAATTAAGCAAGGACCGTGACAGGTGGTTTGCTCAAATACAGCAGCAGCTCACTGAACCACACAGCCATCATGTTTGGCTTATTGGATGCATGTCTTTGTTGGTTTTGGTTTAGAGATAGGGTCTTTTTGCATAGCCCTGGTTGGTCTAGAACTTGCTTTGTAGAGCAGGCTGGCCTCAAACTTTTGGTGATCCTCCTGCTTCTGCCTCCCCACGCTGAATTACAGGCATGCACGTTTTCAACGACTAGCACTAAAATGCATTTTCAAACCAAAGCATGGGAAACATTTTCAAGCAACTCAAACCTGGCCAGCTGCCATTTACCCAGCCCTTGCAAGAAGCACTTGTTATACCCATTTCCTCAAAGCTTCCCAACAACCTCATCTCAAACTCCTTACTAGATATGAAAAAACAACAACCAACCAAACATAATTGGAGGCCCAGAGAGATGATGTGCTTGACCTATCACCCAGCCTGAAAGAGCCAGGTTCTGAACAGCCTTCCTTAAACTTCCCCCGGTCTCAGGTTCTCAGGAAAGAACTGTGTTTTCCATCTCCCAGCTTTCTCCTTCTGGGATCTCACTTTGTGGCAGGCTGGCCCATCACTGAACCACTTATACAGCCCTTTATATCACCATGTAAAAACTTCAGGTTTTGTTTTTTATTTTTTATTTAATTAGAGAAAATAAATTAGGTACAGCAGAATATAGAAGAAGAAGTGAAAACCCTCAAGGAGCTGGGCCGTGACCACTCAGGGAAGACCATTCCTATATGGCTCTCTCTTCCCACCTGTTTCTGTTTCCTCCTGCCCCAGGCTCCTCCTCTCCTCCACTGCAAGCTGGACTCTGGTTCATCTGGTGCTGTAGTGTGGGGATGGGAGTGCCCACTTTGCCTACTCACCATGTGGTCAGGTCCTGTAGCTCCCGTTGGCTGGGGCTCTCCACACTGTTTCTTCAAGTATTTGTAGCTCAGGAGGTTATACCAGCGTGTTGACCTCTCCCCAGACCGGCAGACCTCAGCCAGGCTGATCTGGGCGCCTCCCTGTTAGGGACAAACAAAAAGAAGAGTATACATATGTCAGCTAATGGAGACAATATGGAAAGCAGCAGTCCCCATGAGATAGGAGTGGAGCGTTGTAATAGCATTTCGCTATGTTGCCCCAGTTGGTCCCAAGTGAACTTAAGCATGTAGTTGGGGACTAGGTGCATTTTACCACACTTATTTATATACTCCACTCCCTTTACGTTTTCAGATAATTTTGTAGGTTGGCCTCTAACTCACTTCCTCTCCCACCCTAGTCCTGGACTCAGTCTCTTGAGTGCTAATTTTACAGCCGTCATGCCACCATGTCCAGTTTCTATGAATGTACATATCTATTGTCTTCAGACACAGGTCTTCATGTGACCGAGGCTGGCCTCCAACTTGCTGCACAGCTGAAGATGACTTTGAACGTTTGATACTTTTGTCTCCATCTCCCGAGTGTTGGGATGTGTGTTACCAGGTTCACACGTGGCCCATTTTTAAAAACTGGTTATTTGAATTTTGATTGCTGATACATGTCCTGGACTAATCTGGGTTAGGCTCTGGGTTGAGTACTAAGGACCTAACCTTGCACAGTCCCTTAGTTACTAGCAGCTAAGAATGCCAAGAAGCACAACACTGAACAAGCAATGATAAGAGATGTTGCTTCTACATTCCTTATGGGAGCAATCTGCCAACATCTGACAAACTATGGATGCATTTTACCCCGTGGTTTGGGAATCACAGGTCTAGGCATCTATCCCACAGACACAAGTACAAAATGACCCATGAGCAGTAGCCTTCACTTTGGCTGTCTATGTAATAGTACAAGAAGTAACTATGTAGTCGAGACTAGCCTTGAATACTAATCCTTCTGACCCAACTTTCTGGGATTATAGGTGAAATATAGATGCAAAAACAACTACACACACACACACACACACACACACACACACACACACACACACACACTTCCTGTTTAGACTCAAATTCCAGTTCCGGCATATCTCATTATATATGCAAATATTCTAAACCAGTAAAACAAAACCCTCAAACAAACAACCCCCCCATCTGGAACATTTCTGGTGGAGTATATTTATTTTTCCTTTTTTTTTTTGGGTTTTCGAGACAGGGTTTCTCTGTGTAGCTTTGAAGCCTATTCTGGCACTCGCTCTGGAGACCAGGCTGGCCTCGAACTCACAGAGATCCTCCTGTCTCTGTCTTGTGAGTGCTGGAATTAAAGGCGTGCACCACCAACGCCCGGCCCTCTGGTGGAGTATTTCTGACAGGGATATTCAACCTAAAACAGGAGGTACCAAATCATGGCACAGACTGCTAAGTCTGGGTGACTACCAGCAATTTCTAGGAGAATAGTGTTGAGTAGGGAGAGGATTTCAGCGCATACTGACACTTTACTATTTTGACACCAGCTTCCTCACCAGGGGCATGAGAAGAATAGATGCTCTATGCAGGACTGGGGGGTAGGTTATTGTCAATTCAGGAATTAAGTGGTTGGCACGCTCCAGGCACCAGAATAAATGTAAGAATATACAAGAATATGTATATTACTCCTTTATTCATTCAACAAGTATTCCCTGCAGCCAGAGAAACATCTAGAATATGATTCCTCCCCAAGGGGATGACAGTTTCCTGGGGAGACATATAAACATACTGGATATTACAGTTCAGAATATGACAGGCTATATTTGAGGTACAAGCTGGGGAAGGATCATGAGAACAGTTTGGAAGCATGACACCTTCATCAGGTTATTATTAATGACAACAAGATGCACTGCCTGCTGGCACAGGCTCACAGGTATGAATATCATTCACCTTCACAAACTGGAAGCATTTGGAGGGCATTGACTCATTCAAGGATTCAATAAACATATTTACTGAATAGCTTGTAAGTGTTGGAGTGTGCAAGTGGGAGAGAAAACTGTCCAAGGAGCCAGCGTGTGAGTGTGTGTGAGCATGTGTGTGTGGGGGGGGTGGTGGTGAGGTGTGAGTGTGTGTGAGCATGTGTGTGTGTGGGGGGGTGAGGTGTGAGTGTGTGTGAGCATTGTGTGTGTGTGTGTGTGTGTGTGTGTGTGTGTGTGTGTGTGTGTGTGTGTGTGTGCCACTAAGGGTTTGTGGAAAAACAGTGATAAATGGTAACTTTCAAAGGATGCCACACAGCACTGCTAAGGTGTATTTTCTGTCAAGCTGCACAGGTCGGGGGTGGTGTTCACATTGGCTGGGTTAGGGATTTGCCAAGTTAGTGACACCAAGTGAAAATGGAACAAGGGAGGTATTGTAATGGTCAATTCTGGGGTGTGCCCTGGCAGGACCTGAGATGAGTGACACTGGCCTTAGTGGCTGGGGGGGGGGGGGGGAA